TTGGTCCACCGAGAGTTGGAACACCTGATTATGGTCCACCAAGGTCTAGAACGCCTGATTGTAGTCTACCAAAATCTAGAATACCTGAACATGGTCCACCGAGAGTTGGAACACCTGATTTTGGCCTTCCGAGAATTGGAACATCAGACTATGGTCCACCAAGAATTGGTACACCTGATTATGGTCCACCAAGGAGTGGTACACCTGATTTTGGTCCGTCAAGAAATGGTACACTTACTTATGGTCCGTCAAGAACTGGTACACTTGATTATGGACCACCTAGGGTTGGAACACCTGGTTATGGACCACCTAGGGTTGGAACACCTGGTTATGGTCCGCCACGTGGTGGAACACCTGGTTATGGTCCGCCACGTGGTGGAATACCTGGTTATGGTCCACCGAGAGTTGGAACACCTGGTTATGGTCCACCGAGAGTTGGAACTCCCAATTTGGTTCCATCGAGAGTTGGAACTCCCGGTTATGGTCCACCGAGGACCGGAACACCTGATTGTGGTCCACCGAGAACTAAAACACCTGATCATGGTCCATCATGAACCAGTATCGACTAAAAAAACATACCACAATAGTTTCAAGATTATAGATCTTAATATAATATATATCTTCAAATTATATTTTATAATTTTATATATTATTTAATAAAGTAATAAAAAGTATAAATTGAATTTTTTATTTTCTATTTCGTAACCATATAATATAATTTTAATAAGTTTGTGATTATAGTTATGAACTCAAATAGTGATAATTAGACTAAACTGCTCGAAACATTATTTTTTCGAATTTAATACGTCACGCGTTCCAATTAAAATGTCGACTAACGCTAAGTCGGCCATAACTAGTCATAATTAATAGCTGCATTGTAATACAAGGACCTTAGTATTCGATACTAATCATTAATATTATCTCGTAAAGTAACAAAGATCACTGATTAGCTAAACACATAATATATACTCTTTGATTTAGGGTTGGCTAAAGCCAGGTATATCACTCAATAAAAAAAATCGGAAAATCCTACATTCTAATCTAACCATAAAAAAAAAAGCTGAACACAAAACATCTAAAAATAATGGTTCTGTCCGGTCTGGTTTAGTCCTGGTCTAGTCTTGGTCTGAAACCGAATCATACGAATTTTTATTAGGAAAAGATCAGCCCATACAGTCTCAGATTAAGATCAAATCAGGTCTGAACTAGCAAGGACCAGACCAATTAACACCCCTACTCATGAAATTTAATGTCGGGGATGAAATTTTGACTTACTTTATTATGAAAATTTAAAATTAACATAAGTACTACCGGTCCCTGTATTTTCGCGTAATAACGCCATCTACGCGTTATTTGGAGTAAGTTCTAAATATAGAATTCTTCAGGGATGATAAACGACCTGATGACTAAACGACTGAGGTCTTTAACATATGTTACATTATATTCTACGTATTACCTTTAACTAATCAAAATGGTTGCAAAATAAATAATAATCGTAATTATATATTATTAAAGATGATATTTATGCTTCAAGCAAAGTCGTTCAGAATAACTATTAAAGTAATTTTTGGTAATTTTTTTTTTTTGCCTTTTGTTTGCTATATTTGCTAATACTGTATATATATTTTTTTACTATCATCATTGATGTTATTTATCAGCGTTACTGTTAAAAATTTTTTTTTCTGGTTCGGTGTTCCCAGTGTTTATGTAAGTGGTCTTGTATATTTCTCTAATATTCTTATGGCATGGTCTTGCGATGTGTTTATAATAATAATTATACGATAATGATAATGAATATAATTAAACCAGATTTTATTGTACGTACGTATTACAAATAAGTTTCACTCCAAAAAATATTATAGTACGTATTACAAATACGTATACTATTGCCAAATCCCAGTAATTTCGAATAATGCGTGAGAGTGAAAACCTGGAAATAGATTTAATGATTTACTATGATTGGTTACAGGTTTTCACTCTCACGCACCCATATGTACACATTATACATAGCAA